TTGATAGGATTGCCACCATTGTTGCTTCTGCTCTATGCAATACAAATAAAGATTTTAGTATAGAGCGGGCTACTAAACTAGGAGCTAAAGTATTTACAGGCACAGTTGATCCAGTAGAAGCAGAATCATGGATGGTGAGAATTGAAAGAATATTTGATGTGATGGATTGTCCTGATGATCGAAAATTACGACTAGCTACTTTCTTGTTAGAAGGAAGTGCTTATGATTGGTGGAGGTCCATACAGAGTAAATATGTTGATCCTTCTGTGATCACGTGGGGCGAGTTTAAAGATGATTATAATGAGCATTTCTATCCTCGTTCTTACAAGACTGACAAACAGAATGAATTTTTGAGACTAGTGCAGACATCAACAGTGGCGGAGTATCAGAAGAAATTTCTAGAATCATCAAAGTATGCTGCTGCTCTTGTAGCTGATGAAGTTGATAAATGCAGAAGATTTGAGTATGGCTTGAGAGAAGAAATTAGATCAGTGGTGACTGCATCTGGGTATGAAAAATTAGGTAAACTTGTAGAAGCAGCATTAAGGGTTGAGAAAAGTTTGTCTGAACAACATGGTGGTCAACAACAAATGAGACCAGAAATTGGAAGCAGTAGTCAGACATGGGCAGGAAGATCTATGACTAGTACACCGAGGAGGGATCGTAGAGGAGGTGGATTAGGTGTTTCCACTTCTGGTAGTTTTAAGTCCAGATCTCATAGCAGTCAGAGCTCGAGGTCGAGTCAGGGATCAGTACAACAGCCAGGGAGTAATCGTACTCAGACTCAGAGATCTTCTCAGAGATCATTTACTCCTGGACAGAGTGATAGCTCTGGTGTGGCCAGATTTCCCCAGTGCCAGTTGTGCGGGAAATTTCACCCTGGTGAGTGTCTTAAGGGAATTGGAGTGTGTTACCATTGTGGTCAGACGGGACACATAAGGAGAGAATGTCCAGTTCGTTTCCAGCAGGGTAGCATTCCACAGGGGGTTTCTTTGCAGTCAGGTGCTGGCATTTCTAGACAGAATCAGAATCAGAATACTTTGGCAAGCAAAGCAGGTGCTACTAGTGCTACTCAGTCTGATGCTGCTGGCAGCAGTGGTACTAGACAGAAAGGCCAGACTAGACGACCCAGAACTCAGGGAAGAATGTTTGCAGTGACTCAGCATGATGCCGACGAGTCACCTGATGTGGTTATGGGTGCGTTATCTATTTTTGGCAAAAAGGCCCGTTCTTTAATAGATTCAGGTGCTACACATTCGTTTATATCTTATGCATTTGCTATTTATGCGGACCATATGTCAGAATCATTAGATAGTGATTTGGTGGTAGCAACTCCTCCAGGAGATTCACTTTTAGCTAACAGTGTGTACAAAGATTGCGTGATTAGAGTGAATGATCATGAGTTGAAAGCTAATTTGATTCCACTTGATATTCATGATTTTGATGTGATATTGGGCATGGATTTTTGTCTGTAAATCATGCATCAGTTGATTGTTTTCGCAAAGAAGTGGTGTTTCGAAAGCCAGGAGAGCCTGAAATCATTTTTAGTGGTGAACGGAGAATACTACCTTCATGTATCATATCAGCACTTGATGTTGGGAGATTGCTTAGAAAAGGTTATCAAGCATATTTAGCTCATGTGATTGACACTCAGATCACTAAGTTGAAACTTGAAGATATACCAGTGGTAAAAGATTTCCCTGATGTTTTTCCTGAAGATCTTCTAGAGTTACCTCCTGATAGGGAAATCGAGTTTACTATTGATTTGATTCCAGGGACTACCCCTATTTCACAATCACCTTACAAAATGGCTCCAGCGGAGCTGAAGGAATTGAAAGTCCAGTTGCAGGATTTAGTTGATAAGGGTTTCATTAGACCCAGTGTATCTCCATAGGGAGCTTCGGTCTTGTTTGTGAAGAAGAAAGATGGCACAATGAGATTGTGTATTGACTACAGACAGTTGAATAAAGTGACAGTCCACAACAAGTATCCGTTGCCTCGCATTGATGATTTGTTTGACCAACTTAGAGGTGCCTCAGTGTTTTCGAAAATTGATTTACGTTCGGGTCATCATCAGCTCAGAATTAGAGATATCGATGTACCAGAAACTGCTTTTAGGTCACGGTATGGCCATTATGAGTTTTTGGTGATGCCATTTGGGTTGACTAATGCCCCTGCAGCATTCATGGATTTGATGAATAGAGTGCTTCGCCCATATTTAGACAGCTTTGTGATTGTTTTTATTGATGATATCTTAGTTTATTCTCGCAATAGAGATGAGCATGCTGAGCATTTGAGGATTATTTTGCAGACTTTGCGAGATAAGCAGTTGTATGCTAAATTCAGCAAATGTGAATTTTGGCTGGATAAAGTTGTATTTTTGGGTCATGTTATCTCAGCTGAAGGTATTTATGTAGATCCTCAGAAAATTGAAGGAGTAATGAAATGGGAACGCCCTACTAATGTTACAGAAGTACGGAGTTTTCTTGGGTTAGCAGGTTATTATCGTCGATTTGTAGAAGATTTTTCCAAAATTGCTCTTCCTTTGGCTAGTTTGACTCGAAAGAAATCCAAATTTGTGTGGACTGATGAATGTGAAAAGAGTTTTCAAGAGTTGAAGAAAAGATTAGTTTCTGTTCCTATACTTACTCTTCCATCTCCAGGTGAGGAGTTTGTGATTTATAGTGATGCTTCACGCCAAGGATTGGGTTGTGTTTTAATGCAGAATGGGAAAGTTGTAGCTTATGCTTCTAGACAATTGAAGAAGCATGAGTTAAATTACCCAACTCATGATTTGGAGTTAGCTGCAGTAGTGTTGGCATTGAAGATTTGGAGACATTATCTTTATGGTGAGAAATGTCAAATATTTACTGATCACAAAAGTTTAAAGTATATATTTGATTAGAAAGAACTGAATATAAGGCAAAGGAGATGGCTGGAGTTGATAAAGGATTATGATTGTAAGATTGACTACCATCTGGGAAAAGCAAATGTAGTTGCAGATGCTCTCAGTAGAAAGATAAGTTCATCCTCTCCATTAAGTGCAGTTTATGCTTCTTTGATTTGAAGTTCAAGAAGTTACACACTGAGTTCACAACTACTACTTCAGGGGCGATATTAGCTCATTTTCAGGTGAGGCCTACTTTGATTGATAAGGTTAGAGAAGCTCAATCTCAAGACCAGACATTGAGAATATTAAAAGCAGAAGTTAGTACTGGGTTAAGAACGGATTATATGATTAGAGATGATGGGGCGCTGGCTATGGGTAATAGATTATGTGTTCCAAATATTCCAGAATTGAAGAAAGAGATTTTGGAGGAAGCCCACAATTCTGCTTATGCTATGCATCCAGGCAGTATTAAAATATATCATACATTGAAAGATCATTATTGGTGGCTTGGTATGAAGAGAGAGATAGCAGATTTTGTATCCAAATGTCTTATATGTCAGCAGGTAAAGCCAGTTCGTCAGAAAACAGCAGGACTTTTACAACCATTGCCTATCCCAGAATGGAAATGGGAACACATTACTATGGACTTTTTATTTGGCCTTCCTCGTACTCAGAATGGTCATGATGGAGTTTGGGATATCGTAGATCAGTTGACCAAGACGGCCAAATTTTTGCCAATCAAAGCTACTTATGCTTTAAATAAGTTGGCAAAGTTGTATGTGGATGAGATAGTGAGCTCTTATGGTACTCCATTATCTATTATGTCAGATAGAGACCCTCGTTTTACATCTAAATTTTGGCCCAGTTTGCAGGAAGTCATGGGTACTAAATTACATTTCAGTACAGCTTTTCATCCTCAAACAGATAGCCAGTCAGAGAGCACCATACAGACTCTTGAGGATATGTTGAGGGCTTGTGTCTTAGAGCTCAAGGGTAGCTGGGATACTCATTTTTCATTGATGGAGTTTGCTTACAATAACAGCTACCACTCTAGTATAGAAATGGCTCCTTTTGAAGCATTATATGGTCGGAAGTGCAGGACACCAGTTTGTTGGGATGAAGATGGTAAGAGGAAGTTAAAAGGCCCGGAATTGGTTCAAATGACATCCGAAAATGTGAAATTGATTAAAGAAAAGTTGAAAGCAGCTCAGGATAGACAGAAAAGTTATGCGGATAAGCGCAGGAAAGACCTTGAATTTGCAGTAGGAGATAAAGTTTTTCTTAAATTATCTCCTTGGAAAGGAGTGTTGAGATTTGGCAAGCAAGGAAAGTTGAGTCCACGATATATTGGACCCTATGAGATTACTGAGCAGATTGGTCCAGTTGCATATCGATTAGATTTGCCCGATGAATTATCCCGAATCCATAATGTTTTTCATGTTTCCATGCTTCGCAAATACATTGCTGATCCTTCTCGTGTTCTGGAGTCTCAGCCATTTCAGTTGAAGGAGAATTTGACTTATATAGTAGAGCCAGTGAAAATCTTAGACAAGAAAGTGCAAACTCAACAAAATCAGACAGTTTCACTTGTTAAAGTACTTTGGCAGAATCAGACAGTAGAAGAGGCTACATGGGAGAACGAGGATCAGATGCGTGCTCAATATCCTCGTTTATTCATTGCCTAGTCAGTTGCCAGTTGAATTTCGAGGACGAAATTCTTTTAAGGAGGTAAGATTGTTACAACCCACATTTTTATCTAGTCAAAGTCAATAGTGGAATTTTCAAAGTCAAGTCAAATGAGGACTTGTATGAAATAAATCATTTTTATTGGGACTTGATTGACCAAATCATTTTATTTGGGTTTATTTTGTAATTGACAAAGTATGAAGGTTAAATTGGATACATTTCAAAGTTTGGATTTTACTTATATATTTTTGGAAGTTTAGGATTAAATGTGATATAAAAATGGAGTTGGAGGACTTTCCTTGCAATTTTTGAATAAGTGGAATTTATATTCAACATTTGACCCATTTTTCACTCCAAATCACACACACACATAGTAAGAAACGGGCAGCAAGCTGGACCCAAAAAGAGAGAAAAATTAGGGGGAAAAGGGAAGAAAAAGGAAAAGAAGGAAGGAAAAAAAAAAAGGGAAGAAGAGGAAAAGAGGTAAGGCTAATTTCTTCAAGCTTGGGTTGAATTTTTCCCTTTTTTTCAAGTGATAAAGTATGAATTATGTTAAAATTCTAGGGTTTTATTTTGGCTCGAAATTTTCAGATTTTTTTGAGAGGAATACTACTTGGAGCTCAAGTTATTGATTCTTGAATTTCTATCTACATTAAGGTAAGGAGATGTCAATTTTTTTTTGGGAAACCCTAGAATTCGATTTTGGGATTTTGATTAATTATTTGTGGGAAGGATTATATAAATGGAATATTTCACTTGGGAGTTGATTTTATGGAACAAATGTATATTAAATGGGTGGAATTGTGGTTACTAGTTTCACTAGATTGGAGACTAAAATTAGTTTTAAACTTGGGAAGAAGGTTTTGATGATGAATTAATTATTAGAAAAGGGATTAGAAAGTGGGATTAGCTCCAATTGATCAAAAGAATATTTGGGAAATTCATTTGAGTATCGACCAATTTTAGTTAAGTATTATAGAAGTAGATCTTAAAGTTTCTTAATTTAATAGTGGTTGATTAGTCATCTTGTTATATATTCCAGGTGGTGACGAGGAGATTGGAAGAGTCTATCGACCATCTTAGGTTCAACTTGTATTATGTGAGTGGATAAGCTTATTTTTTTAGAAATAAGTATTTATTTAATTTTGAAGTTACATATTTTATAAGTTGAGTTGATAGCATGATTTTTCAGAATAAAACGAGTTTTATTATCAAATGTTTTTAAAAGTTAAATTCAATTCAATTAAATTCTTTCATTGACATATTATTTCAGTATTAACTATTTCCGTATATTCAAAGTTATTTTAAAATCACCAGAAAGTACCCAAGTGATTTTACCCTCGTCTGCACTGGTGTGAATGTGTTTCCACAGTGTATGACTTCATATGGTTATTTTACCCACTTTATACTGGTGTGAATGTGTTTCCACAGCGTATGATCAGTATAGTGATTTTACTCGTTCTGCACTATTGTGAATGTGTTTCCATAGTGTATGACCATTTTATAGCCCTGCGCGCGTACGATCAAAATTACAGAATTTCAGAATTACAGAATTTCAGAATTGAATAACCTTGTTATGTATATCGAGATTAATCGATTTACGAGTATGGTTATTCTGGGTACATTTTTGGTGTGATGTTTTAGTATCACATAGCTTATCAGATTTTAGAAATGCAGTATACAGAATAAAGATGTTTATGATTACAGTATATTTTAGTTTTGATTGTATCATCAGATTTTAAGCTACAGAACTCAGCCTATTCAATTTAAAGAATAAATATTTAGTTTATATGTATGTGAAAAGAAATTTTATGCTATATGTCGGTTTTAAGAAAGATTTTATGAATGGAAAATTAAATTTTTGCAACTATCCACTCACTGAGTTATAGGCTCACATTTTTATCACTATTTCTCTTATCAGATAGTAGCTGAGTTGAATACTACTGGGCCAGTTGATCTATCAAGTTGAGCCATAGACTGTCAAGACTTGTATGAACTATCTTTTCAGTTTAAGAGTTCATATTTTGGAATAGACACCTCTTTTGGTCATAAATTAGTTCAATGTGTTGGGCTTGCTATGTTTTGTATATATATTATGCATTTTGGGTACTGTAGTTTAGAAATTGTTGCAAAAGTCGAATTGCCAGTGTTGTATTTGAATAGTTGATATTTTGAGGGGCCGATGTACCCTATTTCAAATGATATGTACATGTTTGGGATATTTGATTTTATTTTCAGGTAGTTTTAGTCCATTTTTCAGAGGGAACTCTGTCGAAATTTTTATAAAATTATAACGGTCAAAGCATGTCAAGTTTGCCTTGGTGGTGGGTCCAGTACTTCGCTGGTATCTACTATCGGCGTACGACACGTGTCGGATCCATTAGGATGATCAGGACGGATCGTGTCAATTGGCCTGTCAGACTTTTTTAATAACCACCTAATTAATATCACCTTATGTTTTCCAAGTAGAAGCTTCTCTACATTAATAATATCAGAGTAAAGATCGTAATCACTCGATGCAAAAAATCAACTTATATAGATTAAGTCAAGAGTCAAATGCGCAGCCTGACGCGTTAGTTTTAACTTTTAAGTAAAAACAATACGAAAAATTGGCTATATATAAGTGGTTACTCCCTAGTCCCTACTATATTTCCATTCCTCAGCACCATTTCTTGCAATCTTTTCTACTGAAATTAAAAAGGCAAGAAGGGAGTGAAACATTACTTCTTCTTTTTCTGCAGATAATCTGAATTTTTTTTCTCTCTAAAATTAAAAATTTATGGCAGAAAATAAGGAGCAGCAATCACCTTACCCTTTGGCACCTGCAGCTAATGGCTATGCAAGAAGTGACACTGAATCAGCATACCATGATGCAAGAGAATTACGAAAAAGGAAACGTAAGAAATGTTTACTGTATATTGTTCTCTTTGTTGTGTTTCAAACTGGGATCATACTGCTTTTTGCCCTAACCGTGATGAATATCAGAACTCCCAAGTTTCGCGTGCGTTCAGCAGCTTTTGAGAACTTCAATGTTGGACCACCAACAAACCCTTCATTTAGTTTAAGGATAAATGCAGAGTTTGGCATCAAGAACACGAATTTTGGGCACTTCAAGTACCAGAACAGCGCTGTTTATTTCATCTATGGTAGCGTGAAGGTTGGCGAAGTGGTGGTGCAGAAGGCACGGGCCAAAGCGCGGTCGACAAGGAAGTTTAATGCTGCGGTGGAATTGAGTTTTCCGGAGAATTCTCAGCTGAGAAATGATTTGAATTCTGGTTTTGTGCGCCTTATTAGCCAATCGAAACTCAGGGGAAAAGTGGAGTTGATGAAAGTGCTTAAGAAAAATAAGTCTACTGATATGAATTGTTCCATGGACATTGTGACTGCTACACAACAACTGACGAATATTGTGTGCAAATGATGAAGTTATTGTGTTTAGTGGTATAGTATATGCTTTCTGGCATCCATTGATAGGTGTTTTGTGTACTTATGTTTCTTCCACCGCCGGCGGCGGCTGGTGGAGGGGATGGATGTACTTTGAGATTTGATGCTCACCTATTTGGTCTTTCTTTGTCAAATATTTTTCTTGATTTCCATTATCTATATTGCAGGATTATACTAAGTTCTATGGTGAAAATAAGGATTATTCTTGGACCTTTATTCATATTTGAGAGTTAATGTTTACTTCCACTTATTTTTATGGTTTAGTTTCTTACTTTCTTGGTTGAGTTAAAAATTTACCAGAGGACATGTTAAATGTTTGCTTAGCTGTAATTATTTTTTTTTGAAAAAACTCAAATAGGAGGCGATGTGGCACCCCGCACCTATAGGGGGCACCACATCAGCGACCTGGATGAACAGGGCTGATGTGGTCGGTCCGTCTAGCAAAATCATATTTTTTTAAAGAATAACTGTCAAACATGCACTCAATGGATTAAGAATTGATAAATTATGTCACTATTGTAAATAACTGGGGTGCTCCTTTCCCGCTTTTGGAACGAAGCGAGCCGATCAAGTCTCGAGGTGAAACGCAATAGAATGCCTATCTTGATTTCTAAACAATTTTGAGCGATGGTAAATGTAGCAATCTGAAAACACTTTATAAAAGTAGTCATATAATGAAAAAATAGAAGTGATTTCCTACTTATGGTGGCAGGATAAAACACGTTCACTGTTGATGTGAACCTACAATTTTAGGCAATTCAACTATGATTCAATGTTGAATTGTCAAAAATTGTAAGTTTGACCGCTGATAAAATATAGTCTTTGTTTGGTAGAATTTAAAATTAATATTTTAGTTTAAATCAAAGTCAACAATTAATTTTAATAACATATTCTTAGGATTCACAAATATTTGACTACACATTTTTATTAACTTTTTTTAAATTATATAAGAAAATCTGATTTTAGTCCTCATCAAAAAATGGCATAATTTAATAAAATATTGTAGTAGTCAAATTCTTTGAGATCAAAATTGTCGGTTGCCTATATAAGATCTTGAATTTAAATTTTTTCACGTGGAAACTAAAATATCACAAGTGTAATATAGTTCTGAGACTTAGTCCTTGATTGGTAGAGAATTTTTAAGAATAAATTTTGTCAAAAAATATTTTTTGGAAAATGTGTATTTGAAAAATAGAAAAAATTATGAATTTATTCGCATAATTAGTTTATTAAGAATAAACTTTAAAAGATGAGGATCAAACAATTGCTTATTGTTGGATGTGATTAAATTACTATTGGGATTGATTATATAGAATATGGGTTATGTGAATGGAATTAATACATATATTGTTGTGGAGCCCGATTTGATAGTTTCGAGTGTGTAGAGCTAATTATATATATATATAGCCCCTATTTATTAGAGATTAAAATTAAGATTTTAATTTAAGTTAAAATTAACGAATATTATCAATCACAAATTTTATGAATTTACAACTTTTCAACCACTTCATTTTATTAATTTTTATTAAAATATACTAAAAATTTAATTTTAATCCTAACCAAACAAAGACAATCTCCTTGTCTGCTTTTTCTTTTTACATTTTTAATGTCGTCCTCTTTGATTTTTACATTTTCAGACTCTTCTTATTTCTTTTTGGGCTCTATTGCGGGCCTGTCTACTTACTGAACTCCCATTTTTCTTTGTCAAACTTATTCTTTATCTTTCTTTCCACGCCCTTCAATAGCTTCGCCATCAAAGCTGGATCTACCTCACCGATTATTGTCACTTTCTTGTTCTCTCAATCTATTGTGATGGATGCTACTCCCGAAAAATTTAAGAAAAAAGTGTTCATTATACCTGAAATAAACAGATTAATTCATTCTTTTACCGGTAGAACATGTTCGAAAAGGACACGAATTGTTCGAGAAAAATTCATTAAAATTAGCTAATATATTGATGTTTTAAGATTTATATTTTCTTGAACTCAACAAAATTAATAATCCTTTTTCTCATACAATATGTTAGATACGAAATATTCAGAAAGGATTCAACTGTAACATATTATATTATTTTTTCTTTAAATTGCCCCGTCCAATATATCAAATACCTAGGAGGATGGCGACATGGTCCATGATGACTTTCTCATCAAGAACGTCCATTGCAAACTCATTTTTCTGTTATATTAGCATAAAAAACACCAAAAATTAGGAAGAAGCCACCAAATTCTGTTCTCAAAAAATATAATTAAAACAACCACGCTATTTAATGATATTAGCCATAAATAAGAAAACATAATTATTCCATTTCCCGCATGAAGAATTCGCACAAGAAACAAAGCTGATTCATTAAACACGTGAATAAATTGAATCTAAAATTAAGTTGGAATTTTTTTTTCAAATAAACTGTTTAAACCTCAGATAATGGTATTATGCATTCAAAGATTGGATAATAATAATAATAATAATAATAATAATAATAATAATAATAATAATAATAATAAATGAACAAATGAGATTAAACCTAAAAAATGAAGCACGGAGATAGTAACTAACCTTAAACAACGACATCCGGCTATCAGTATTGTTAAAGGGGGGTGTCTATGGTATTTACTCAAAAATGAAAGATGGGATATGTTTTCGACTTGTGAACTCAACTTGAAGCCTATTTCTACTACAGAAATATGGCTTTTAGTTGGACTTAATTATCAATAATTGCCACTAGTTAATATAAGATATTTGAAAATATGTCTTTTAAGAGGGTATTTTACCTACCCTATTTTGTAAATTCAGGTTTTGACCTACTATAAATTTTTGGGTAAATATATTCACACCAAAATTTTTATTGGCTACATTTTTATAACAATGCATATCCCTAATTTTTTCTTATTTTTACACTTATGTTGTCAACTTTAAAAATAAATAAATAAATAAATAAAATAAATTATCATCAACCTTCTATTTATTTTCACATCTTCTCTATAGAGATGATTTTCATCCAAAATATTTGGTATGAGAGCCAAAAAGACATATTTCTCCCTCCCTTTTTTAAATAATGGAATAAATAACTAATATAAAAGTTAAAAAATATATATTTGTCCATCTTTTCAATGCACGTTAGTATAATATTTGGATGAAAATCGTGATTAAAGACAAAATATGTTGATTAATTGAAAGTGAAGAATGACAATCCAACACGAAGAAAGTTGAGGATATAAAAGTAAACGCAATCAAATATTCAAAACCTTCATTATACTAGTCGCTATCACGTGCGTTGCACGAATTTTGTATTTATCGTATTTTTATTAGTGTATGAATTTTAGTTTTTTGGAAAGTTTTTGAAGGAATATCTAAAAATATTTTCATGATATAAGAAAATAATTGTAAATTATTTTTACAATTGCTTAGCAGTATGTAATCTAGAAAAATATGCTTGTATATTTCATATTTGAATAAGAAATATACAAACTATTAGTGTTGATATGATTGAATTGAATGTGAAAATTATATTTCTAAATTTTGTGTAATTTAATATTGTAAAATTGAAAAAAAAAAAACTCTTTGCATGGTGCGGAGAGAGTCAACTAAGTGCGAGTAAAAATAAAAAATAAAAAAATGTGTGGAGAGAAAAAACCTTTGGCATGATGTGTATGTGGAAGAATATTTGTCAATCACAATAAAAAAATTCTTCACAAAATGCAAAAAATAAAAATGCATAATAAATCTTCTTATTACGCTAATAAAATTACAATAAATTTTTTTGTACAAATAACATAAAAAAATAATTTTTATTTTCAAGAAAAAAACACATTTAAAAATTAGCAATTTCATAACTATTTTTTTAATTCTCGAAAATAGAATTCGAGAATTAAAAAAAGGAAAAAATATTGAATTACAACATTTAATACTCAAGAAATTCAATATCAAATAAATTTTATACATTTATAACAAATTATAAATTAGCTTACCGTATTTGTAGGCAACTTACCGTATTTGCAGGCTACCGTATTTGCACCTTATCATATTTGCTGCCTACCGTATTTACAACTTACCGTATTTACTGCCTACCGTATTTGTAGGCTACCGTATTTACAAACAACTTATCGTATTTTTCACATTATCGTATTTGCTGTCTACCGTATTTACAACTTACCGTATTTGCAACCTACCGTATTTGCAAACAATTTACTGTATTTTCACCTTACCTATTTGCAGCTTAATGTATATGCTAACTTACCGTATATGCTGTATATCGTATTTACAGCTTACTGTATTTTTTATATACAGATTTTTGCACTTACAAATATCGGGAATGCAAAACACCGTAAATTCACTTACCAAACCGAATTTCAAAAAAATTTCGATTTTTATTTTTTCAACATAAAATAAATATTAAATATATATCAAGTTGCGTGGTATGGCATTATCAATATCACATTCTTTAAAATTGTCATCTATAGATTTTTTTAAAAAAATCATTACTATTTAGTCTAAAAAATTAATATATATATATATATATATATATATATATATATATATATGTGTGTGTGTGTGTGTGTGTGTGTGTGTGTGTGTGTGTGTGTGCGTGTGTGTGCGCGCGCGCGCGTGTGCGTGTAGAGTGTTGTCTCAAAAAAAAAATAATAGAGCTGTGCGGACACTCCGCTGCACTCCGCACGCACGTCCCATAATTTTTTTTTTTTTGTAAATTATTAATTAGACTAAATGCGTTAATTACTATTAATTATTTTTTAAATATTCTTTAGATAACAACAAATCTTTTGGTTGGTGAAAAAATAAATAAAATAATAATGATTTATAAAAACAATTATTGCAAGCAAATTTTTTGTTTCATATGGTGGCAAGGTCAAGAAATTCACGTGAGAAAAGAAGTTTCACGTGAATGAAAGAGGAAAAAAACAAAAAGAGGTCATTCTTCCTTTCGTTTCATTTCTTTACTTTCTTTAGTAAAATTTAGTTTTCTTTCACAGTTGCATTCTTCATATTTCATCCCAAAATTTGAGGAAAACAAATTACAAGGTAATTGTTTAGTTTTTAGGAAAAATTGCAGGAGAAGCCCCAAACCTTTGAAATATTAGCAGACTTTTCCCAAACCTTTAATTTGTTACAGCCGTCACCCCTAACATTTCCAAACGTTGCAAGTGAAACCTTTTTGGATGGTTTCCATCCACAAATCCGTTAGTTGACAAAAAAATTTAACTTTAATCACATTTTTAATA